GCGACCTCTGCTGTATGGCCGAAACTTTCAACAGCGAGATGAAACAAATTGAAGTCTCGTAATCGGTATCGATTGATGAGCGGTAACATGGATGCACAGTAGCGCGAAACTTACGGCTCCGGAAGTCGGAGCATTGTTGGAAAAATACTGCAATTCCTCTTCATTATTCGGGAGCGAGAGGGTTCAATTCTTTCGTAAAATCGACGGCGTGTCGCGCGCTTCTGATGCCTGTTGAATGTCGAAATCGAAGAGATTTTAAGCTGGATTGGATGAGAAGTTTCGATTCGTCAGATGCTGTGCCTGGGTGTGTCTTCAGTCAGGGACACTGTAAAGCGGATGAAGTGCAGTAATTTCGGTGCGATTTGCACGGCGACCAGTTTGGAGACTGGCGCGAACCGTGCTTGTGGTCTGGGTGAATACCGATGAGGATGCTACTCTTCGCTCTCTCCGCGAACGCTCGTCTGTGTCTGAGGCCTTTCCCGTTGACGTGTCCCTCGCTGTGCTCGCCTGGCTGAGCCGAACGCTCCGCTTGACCAACGAGCGTTTCGAAGCTGCTGGTCACTCCGCAGTGGATGCCAACGAAACTGTTCGGTTCTTCCTGCGGAGCTCGCGATTGCCTTACACTGGTGCACAGTACTGTGCAGTAGTATTTCACTTCCTCCTGTAGCATAGATTTTGCCCTGGAATACAGTTGAAAAGGGAAGCAAGTTGGAACTGGAATTGATCTTAAGGTGCATCATGACTCGCGAAAGTTGGCAAGCACTCAGGAAGGGCTTCTGCGAGTCGAAAAGGTCCTCTCTGTTCTACAGAATCACTGTCCACTTCATGGGAATTTCTTTTTTTTTCATCTGCGTATCCGTCCGTCCATCCATGAGCAAATGACGCATGGAGATGGCCTGTGAGCTTGCCCTGCTGATGCCTGCGGGGTCGAAATGGGCGATCGTATGGGCTGTCAGGTTCCCGCCGTGCTGTAATGGTCCCCGCTTCCAAGTCGCCCCCTTTCCCGCCTCGAAGCCGCGTTAAAATCTCCCTTGAATCAAGCTCGGCGCCGGTTCCCGCACCCGTCCTCGCCGTGATACCTCCACTTCGTGATTCCTTGGCTCATTAGGAACGGAGGAAGTGAGGAGGGAAATTGCCGTAGGTAGCTCGGGGAAGGGGGCTCGGACTTGCCGGGGAAAATTGTGGTTTTATTTGAGCAAACGAGCATTTAGCCTAAGGAGAAAGAAGCACACGTACCCCGCTTGTGACAGATACATCCAACTCCCTGCGAGAATGTTTTCGGTTTTTCTCCGGTGGAAATTCGTCGAAAGGTTGTGGGAGAAACGCGCTCGTTCAGCCAGAATCGGCCGATACCGATTGATTCAATTACTCTACCCGGTAAAGCATTTCTTGAGAAGGTATTTTCGATTGCATGCTGTTGAAAAATGACCACGTGAGCCGAGACGTGATGTCATTAAACCATTGACTATTAAATTATTTCCTTCGTGTTATTAATCCTGGACTTCAGGACAAGCCGTTCCGTCAAGTGGAGATTTCTCTCGAGAGGTAGGGTGAAATCCGGTGGACCAACCACTCGTCTTGATTCGTACTACAGTGCGGTGTGATTTGGGTGTCGGAACTGGGCGAAGTAAGAAGGGGGGGGGGGCACAAACTCATTTGAGGGGTTGGGGCCTTTGTCCGATTTCTGTCGGTGTGATGGCCAAGCGTGATAACGAGAACTGGATTTTCCGAGCCGGATTGATGAGGCGTATCAGATGATTCGTTTCGCAACGCAAGATAGAACCAACAAACTTACCAGCCAACCGACTAACTAGTTCGGTCCAGACGTTTTCTCGCCGAGATACTGTACCGTAGTTGTGTGGAGATTTGACTGGCTTGCTTGCTCGCCCGCTCCCGAATGCCCCTCGGCCATTTCTGCAGTCGAATCGTGAGCCACGGCTTAGCCCGCGTTTCACGGAGGCGGGATTAGCCACCAGCGTCAGCGTGGACGAGGAGGATTTTTCCGGAGCCTTTCCATTAAGGGATGGGAATGGTTCGAATGTGAGGAGACCGTGTCTCCGCGTTGAGGATGAAGACGAAGATGTATGTTGCCGATGCCAGCTGTCGTGCGGCAGCCAGCCAGCTAGCCGGCCGGCCGGCCGGACAGACAGACAGACAGAGACATGCATTCGGGCGACAAGTCGAGTTCTAGTCGTATGCTCCGATTATTCTACCGTACTGTATAGTACAGTATACCATTTGATCGTGAAGTGAGGACCAGTAACTCGCCGATCACTCCTATATTTGAAGGGACCGCTTGCTTCGACGTCGGCCACTCCGCAAGCGCACTGCCGTGAGACCGTTGAGTTATTTCTACTCATCTGACTCGGCCCGAGATGTTTCCAATTACAGTACAGTACTGTATTATTATTATTATTTGTATTGGCTTATTATACTTTAATTCAAACCGGAACATGTAATGTAATCTTCAATGACCGAATTTCCCCTTCCCCTCAGCTTGAAAAAAAAAAAGAAGAGCCGAAGTGTGAAACTTGCGAGCCTCTATAATTAGTCCGAAACTGGATAATCAGAATGGTAGTGTGCAAATCGGAATTATTCATAGTACGGTACTGTAGTGTGAAAATAAAAGTAACGGACATCACATGCGTATTTTTGTATGAGAATTAGTAATTTTAATTCGTTGCAGAAGCAATTTATAAATCGCTTTTGCATTGAAGTTGTCGCAGAATATATGGACTTCTGCAATGAACGGACAAGAAGATCAACAATGATGCCGTTAGTTCCCTGAAACATTTCTGAACAGGTTAAAATATTGTTGAGAAAATGATCCAAACCAAATCTGTGTTCCGTTCCTTTGCATCTAATCGGTACTGCCAGAGGATTTGGGTGTTTCCATGGGCCCCATGGGTGATCCAGGAAAAGACTGGACTTTATTGGACGAGAAAAAGTGAAAGGAAACGATAGAAACGAAGTAAAGTGCGCTGCTGTAGAAAGAATTATCTCTGATGCGGGATTGAATTGGTCGCGGTGGAGGACTCGAAGAAAGCTGCTTTAGTCTGATCGTTGACTGTAAATCAAGCGAAGGCCCAAAAAGTCGAGTAGCGGGGTTCCGCCGTCCTGTTCTACCGTACTTCAATTCCTAAGAAAAACGATGCCTGTGGCCAAAATGGTCTGAGTCTCGCTGAGTTGTATCTAACGCATAATTTCCTGGTCGCGTAATGCAGTACAGTACAGTACTGTACTGTATTTGTCCATCGCCTCATTTTTTCTCTTGCGTCGTTTTTTGCCGAACCACGATCCAGTTGCGGAATGCGTGAAATAATCTTGTCTATATCCAGGGCTTGATTAAATTTGGTCCTGCCTGATGCTTGTGTGCGATGGCCCTGCGAGGCTCTCTCGTTTCTTTCGTTTCGAAAAAGGGGGAAACAATTGTGAAAGCTAGAGTCGACCCCTCGAGTGTGTTAGGATTGGTTGGAAGCACCACTATCGTTCGCTGTTGGTTTTCATCAAATTTTCAAGCACGAGTCCCTTCGTCGTATCAGATGCAGACTTGTCACTCGAATATGCATTCTCGCTTGCTTCCGGTCTACCGCACGGTCCCTGGGTACCGTATTGCGCTTGATCCCCGCTCAAGACGAATTTTGATGAGTGCGACCATGCACACTCGCCCAACTTCTCGTGTTTTAAATTATGCGAAAGAACGGGCTGATTTCGTCAACGAGGTGTTCCTGCCTGTACTGTACTACTGAATTGTATTATATGCGCGTCCTTGTGCGGCGTTGTCACGAATCGAGCCAGGTCTTCGTTCACGCGAGATGGTTTTATGTTACTGTACAGTACTTTAAAGTCGATGCAGGTGAGTCGAGGATGCCTCTGGCTTTTTGAGCGATGACCACGTGGCAGTTTCTACATGTCTTAGTCTGATAGGCAGGCTTTTCCGATACCTGAACGTGTCTCTGGTGAAAAGAGCTTACGATAAATCATCCCTGTTGGGGCTGTTGGATTAAGAAGGCGTGTCGTTGTTGTGGTTGCTAGTGGGGTTCCAATGTGCTGCGAGAGGATGAAGAACTCATCCTGGGTTTAATGCGGCGGAGAAACGCCCAGGACCGATTCATTACTAAAACGCGTTTTTGTCCATTTACATTTGAACGAATGAAAGCACCCCCTTTCTGTCCGATTTTAGAAGCTTAAAACTTGGAGGGAACTTCTGTTCGTACAATTCATCCAATTGGAGTAAATGTGCATCTACAGTACAGTATAGTGTATTGTATAAGAAAATCTTCCTGTTCGGGGCCCGTGAAACGATCTAGTACCTGCACTGACTGTACTTCTTTTTTCTTATCTTTTGGCATTGGGGTTGAAAATAAGCGAAAATAGCCAGCTTTCAGGACGTCGATATGTATGAGTCAGTGACTGAAGGTGAAGAGCAAGGGTTGTGTCTCGCCGGTTTTCCTTTTGTGGGTCGAAGATGAATCTAATCAAAAATTGTGGGTTTCTCGATAGTCAGAACACCAGGATAGTAAGTGGGTTCTTATATTCGCCTATTGAAGGAATTTACATTTTGTGGATGAGGATCTAGAGGGGTTTTATATTTACGTAAAGACGGTTATATTGTACACTACAGTAACGGGCTATCTGGGGTAATACAGTACTATACAGTACATTGTTTTGTTACTTGAATGAAACGAGACCCTTTTTTCACTTCAGGATTTGAAAGAACTTACGTAATCGCGTGATTTGTTGAAGGTCAAATGCGCTTTTTTCAACGGCGATTTGCTTGACGTAATGAATGCCTTTTTTGAACATGTGCTGAAATCGAAATTCATGGAATGCTACTTTCCAGGTGTTCACACCATTGTATTTGCGAAATTTAACTTCGCTATGCAGTGAAATTCATGAAAGCAAGCAGTTCCAAAAAATTATAAAATGCAATGATCTAAAACAGTCGTTCATGTGTGGTTTTCTCCTTATTAACTTTCGTGTGTATCCCCCTTGATTTGATGCGCGAATTCATTTGTCCTTCCTTTCTTGTTGTCGTTGGAGAGCCGGGTTTTTCTCTCGTGTGTTGCAGCTTATTTGAGTTGATCTTGGAATTTGAAATTGAAATCCCTCGTCTTTTTCCTCGTGTTTTGTGCAGGTTACGCTTTTGATGAGCCGGAGGACATTAACAAACGACTCGAACCTGGAATTTGCTCAAAAACCGAGGTGGTCGATAGCAACTGCGTCGTCCGAGCCCGGGGCTTGCCATGGCAATCGTCCGACCAGGACATAGCCCGATTCTTCCGTGGCCTCAACATTTCTCGGTGAGTTACGCACACCTCTATACTGTACAGTACATTACACACTTCCGTGCTGCCCGTGAAAACCGTGTGTGTGTGTGTGTGTGTGTGTCTGTGCGCGCGCGTGCTTGCTTGCGTGAACGCTGGCGGTTCACGGGCGAACTGCGATCTGGAAGTTGAGAGGTTCATCTGAAGATGTCGCTCCAATTCTCGTATATCGTGAATCAATCCGTAAACTGTACTGCATACCGTACTTATAGTTGATGTACTACTGTAATGGTTTTCACGATTGCATTGTATTGTAGCTGTAACGTTTCTGCTCATATTTGAAGCGCTGATCCGCGTGATTGGAAATGGGTAGAATCAATCAGTCATGTTACCCGCGGAATGTGAGCTCATCCTTAACATGCCGTATTTCTGAAGTGAGTTCTTTTTTCGAATAACTTGTTTGTCGTCATGATCAACGCTGTCCATAAAGACGGTGTTTCGTATTCAGTACTTCTCTGCATGCTGTACTGTTGACGACATGGGAAGCCCTTAACGCGTAAGCTGAAGAAGTGCTGATAGCGAGCTGCGACGAAGGGTGCGGGAAACTGTGTTCGAAGAAAATCTACTTAAGATTGTCAAATTAGATGTCGCTTGCTGTTCGACAAAGAAATGTATTGCCGTTCAGTGCAGGACTGTACAATACAATACAGTGAAGTACGGTATTCGTTTCCCAGGAGCGGAGCTTCATCCAAAACATGTGCTGATGTAATATATGTGCGCTGTCAACCATAGTTAACCCGGTGGGTTTTGTTTCCTAGATTAAATATTACCGTACAGAAGAATATATTTGGTTGAATTTAAGCATGTGTCCATGCGCATCTCTATACGGAAGCTCGAGCGAAATCATGGTCACATTCCCCGGGCACAATTTTTTTTCTGAAGTGGTTGAGATTGCATCTACAGTATGAGGATTTGGTTGGAAGCCCGCAGTCAGAGACGTCGCATCGGTACCAGTTACGGGCCTACCCCGGGTATTGCTTTTTTTCGGGGAATGTAATTCTGAATGATTCCCTCACAAGTTCGGTTGGAGAGGGGAAGGGTAACCCGATCCCGAAGGACTTCTCGCGCACCCGGGTTGCCCTTTGGACGCGGGAACCAGGTACTGGCCTTCTGCAGGAGGATGTTTGGGCCGTAATTGGTTGGTCCTTGAGCCGTTCGTTGATGAGGTCGGATGTGTACCGATATTATTTTTTCGAATTTATATTTCCTTGTCGACGCGTTCATCAATCTCTGGAGAAAAAAAATCAAAGGAAAGTTGACGCGTCTCATGCAAACAAAATGTTCTACTGCATTGTCTTCCTTCGGTTGAACATTCTCTCCACAGTACTGAATTTGACGGAAGTTCCAAGTCTTGTTGACTGATGATCTGCCGATTCATTTTCCAATAATGGTGATTGAAAGACGGAGGATTATTGATGATACCTGTACGGGGTAGAACATCATGAGGCGAGGGAAGGTATCGTCTCTTGGGCTTACACAGACTATAGAGTGCTGTTTCATACTGTATTGTACTTGAATGCGGAGCTGTATAATTTGTGCGTCAAGTTTTCTTAATAGTTTTATTGAAAAGCAAAAAAGGTACCTCAAGCTTTCAAGTTTGTAAACCGTGTGATGGAATTTTCTCATTTGTCCATTACTTTCGTGGGTAGATGTCGCTGGAATTCGCTTTCTCGTAATAATTTCACACCGATTATTCTCATATTTGTCTGTACTGTGTATGTAATTCTCAAGTTCCTCGGTCGCGTGTGCACTTCATTAGTTTATTTTACCTCCCCCTCCCATTGGAGCCTCTGTCCACCTTTGTCGTTCAGTTTCGTATTGCGGCGATGATATATTTGGTGTTTGAAGAGGTGGGTGTCTGATGGTGAATGTGAACGAACGAAGCGTTCTTGCAAGTTGATGGAGATAGTGCAAGCCTAAATAAGTGGCTTGATGTGTTTTCCAGTGGCGGTGTGGCGCTGTGCTTGAGTCTGCAAGGACGACGAAATGGAGAAGCTCTGTGCCGGTTTGTCTCGCAAGAGCACCGGGACATGGCTTTGAAGCGCCACAAGCATCACATGGGATCTCGTTACATTGAAGTTTACCGAGCGTCTGGAGAAGACTTCGTCAACGTTGCTGGTGGTGAGTCTTTTTTTTTTTTTTTTTGGGTTGCTGCCCGGGGTGAACACCCTTTGCACCAGCGCGGATTCCCTGTACAGTATGTACCCGAACCCGGGGTGTCGCGCGCGAGTCGGAAATGCGGCCGGGTTAGGGTGGCGTGCGGAATCCGTGTGTATGCTGTACTGTACTGTACTGTACTATACTGAACAGAACTCTAGTAAATGTATAGGTTCCACCGAGCTTCTGAACTGAGGCGCGTTTTCAATGAGGATGAGAATGTTCTCTGCCTCGAATAGAGTACGAGTACTGTATCATAACAATTTTCGACAGAAAAATAGCCGAACGATGAGCCCCTTTCCCTTGGAAACCTGTGCCTACCAGATTCTTCTAATTTATGCCAGTAGCGTTATCAAAGGCAACCCCTCAACTTATCGTATTTACTCGACTGCCGAGCGCCCTCGAGTACGACGCGCACCTAATTTTCAATGAATATTTTCAATGCAATGCAGTATTTAAAAAAATAAAGAACAGCAAACGTTGAATTTAGACATGAATTGAACCTGAATTCAATCCATGTTCAATCGTATCCATAAACTTGTTCCAATTTTCAATTTTGAGAAATGAAGGTGTGACTGTTACTCGAGTAAATTGGTATTTTCTTGTAAGCATTGTCCCGCTAGAAAAAAAAAGAGGGAACCGCGGAACTTGAACTGTAGGTTACGGATGATACGATGCCAAAGAAGGTGCCCGGATGATGTCAAGTGTAAAAAGAAGAGCTCGGTGATAAGATGATCTTTCGGAAGCCAGATTACCGTATTTACGCATCTTGAGGTCGCTTACGTTTGTAGTACTGTACTGTACTGTACAGTACAGTACAGTAATGTGTAGGACGCACTCTTTAAGGTCTGGCCAGGCATTTCAGGGTTACAACTTTGGTTATGTTGCGAAAATGATTGTTTCGGAGAGAGAAATGGTGCCTATTCATGAGTAGAGGCGAACTTATCATTTCATCTCCCAACTTCTCCCGTAATAGCTCTCACGCTGAGAGAAATGCCGGCAGAGAGAAAAATTGAATTTCAATGTACTGCACACTAATCACCCCGTGCCTGAACGGGATAAACAATGCGATGAACTGCAGGAGATCGATTGGTGGTTCTCGCGTGATGGAGCAAGAGTTTCAAGAAGGCCATTTCAGTGGCACCCGTTTCGAAAAACGTGATAAAAGTTTTGAAGCTTTACTTGTGCAGTAGGTATCATCCCGTGTTGGATCATACAATGAAGGAACACTCATCAGTCATCGAGCTATACAGACTTGCGGGTCTCTTTCAGTGGCCCGCATTTCGGTTGCGGCCTTTCCGACTTCGCGCCAGCTTCTGACGAAGCGTGCTGGTGCAGCCCGAAACAATTTTGCTGCTGATGAGAATTTAGAGTACCGCGGGATTCCTCGTGCCGAAAAGAGAAAAAAAAAATCACGTATTGCATGCAGGCTTGACGGCTTGCGAGGGTTTCACGGGCGATGGGGTGTACGGTGCTCCCTTCTGGTTCATTCGAGGAATGGGTTACTCTCAAATTTCTTGTCTCTCGCGGGAAAGGAACGACGATTAGGAGGAGGATTGATTGATGTATTCCAGAAGGGTCTCCAGTAACTCGTGAGAAGTGTCTGGTAAAATTTGGAACGTTTAGGAAATCGAGTGTAGTGGATACTTCCGTCCGTGGCAGTGTTTTTCAACTTGTGGTGCGCGAGAGAATTTCCAGGAATCATGGTGAAGCCCTTGAGGGCTCCAAGAGCACTTTCCAGACTCCGTGACTACTTCGGAAAAAAATGGAGGAAATCGGAACAAAAGTCAAATGCAATGCAAGTTTTGTGCAGTGCTTGAAGGAATATTCAGTACAGTCAAACCCGGTTGAGATACCCCCCAATAAGCCGGTATCCTCGGCGACCGGCAATTTGTTTGAAAAGAAAATCGTGTCTGGTGATGAAAGCATCGGAAACCCCGTGAAAACGCCCTTCGCCAAAATTATTGACAAGTCAAATCTACTCCTGCCAATTGATTTGGTCTTCAATAGCCGACCAACAAGATTCAAGTTCCCGTGAGAGGTCTCATCCAAGTGAAGAAGCACGAACACAAAGACGGCATAATGTACTTCGTAGGCACATTAGGTTGATGAAAGTTACACGTACCATTTTCCTTTTTTCATTGTGTTTTAGGAGGAACATAATTTTATTTCTTATTTCACTTGATTTTGAGATTATTTTGACTTTTTTTTTTTTGCTAAACCACCAGCCCCGCCGCGAGCCTCACAAAACAAATGGTTGCGGCTTATCGAGGTTCGACTGTGCTGTATGTACAGTATTGTCCAATACATGATTTCAATGCTGTATTTGCAGTGCTGCTTGGGAAAGGTGTTCCTGTTGTTTGTTTGGGATCGTGATTTGCGCGATAAGTAACCTCAACCCTCCCTGGGTCTGACGACTCATCCCAGCGTTCCGAGCACATCACGGCAGGAGTTTACAAGCCCTGCTCGTCATCTGATACACGTGTAAACAAACTGATGCGACTTGGATACACCAGCCCAGGCAAGGCCCTGTGTAGTGACGACGTTGTGCTCGGTTAGCACCAGGAAATAAATGTGCCAGAGCGGGGCAGTTGGTTCGGGAAATTTTTCTCAGGGTTTCTTTCGCTCGATCGTGGCTGACGTGGGTCGACGGGGTACGGGTCGACAGTATTGCGTGCACTTCTCGCTGATGACATTTCTGCAAGTCTGCATGTCGTGTATGCAGCCGATGCTGGATTCGAGGCTTGTACTGGGGATGGATTTGGATTGAGATTCGGCGTGGGAATCGTGGGAGAATGAGGGTTTGGGGTCGTACGATTGTTCGTCGACGTGAGAAAATTCCATGCTGGCGACGGAATGGCGGAAAGAGGAAAATAACCGGGTGTTCTGGCGGGAGGGAGGGGACCGGGATCGACATCATACCCCGGGTTGTTGAGCTCCTTCTTCCGCAATTTGAAAAATGAAAAAAAGGAGAGAGACGCAACAACGCGCAACAAGAAGCGCAATTCTCCCTTGTTCATTTATTTATTTATTTTCTTCATGACGGTTTTCGTGAGGGTTTTGCCTGGTGACTGCATCATACTGTATATGCACGGAAGGGATTCATGCACTTCACGCCCGCATCCCTCGCACGTGCATGCGTGTGCGCCACTTATTCGCTCGCGGTGGTCTGAAATCGCTGGCACATGGAAATCGGGGCATTTTCCCGTGGCTTTGCCTTGTGCAGAACTGTATCATTAGGCCCGGTGGACGAGAAACGGTCGTGCGGTGCCGAAGAGAACCTTTACTCTTTATTCTTTCCCCGCTGTTTGGAAATGAATTTGTTCATCTCTCGTGGGCTTTGTACAGTACAGTACAGAACTGCACTTGAACCACATTTACGAGCATGCACGAAATTGGGTTGGCTCCAAAGAAAAGAAAACGACAAAAGTTTGGGGGAAACTGCAGTTTTTATATTTTAAACGCGTATGCGTGATTAAGACCTGTAAAAGTATCTACTGTTCGAGGAAATTTCAACAAAAGTGACGGAACAGTACGTACAATGCGGGGAGGCACTGTACTGAACATAGAAAACTCGTGAGGTGCTGGGTTACCGGGAATAAGTGCCCCAATGCCTGGTGTCATTTCGGTCCTCTTGCAGCGTCGCGAGCGACCATCATAGGCCACGCAAGTCTAATTTGCGAGGGCATATCCTACAAGAGAAGTACTGTACTGTAATAGCGGAATTGCGGGACTGTACTTGTAAGCTCTGTTTATCTGTTTCATCGCAGATACAGTACTGCACAGTACAGTACATGCCGGCGGTTGAGATTCTGTACCACTCTTCCCTTTTCCGAACGTGCGTTTTCGAGACATGCGCCTGCATTTATTTGGCGCAAATTTGGGGCGTGGAATGTGTGCGAAATCTCGCTGGTTTCGGTGGGGGGGTGCGTAGAACTCCGACGACGCCGACTTGATGGGGTTCTGTGGGTGGACATGCACAAGTCCCACGGATTGCGAATGAATTTATCGCCCAGTTCGTTACTCAGGTGGCCGGGAATGGGGTTTGTCGTTTCTGAGTCACAATCTTGGCTCAGGTTATGCACAATACAATGTTGTGTTTTAGGCTAGGATTACTTTCTATGGGCTAGCTGTTTTCCGGCAAGTTGCGGTTTCCGAGGATTTTTTTTAGCGAGGCATTTAGGTTAGGTTTATTGTTGTACAGTAGTTTGCCAAGTTATTCAGATGAGACTTGAAGAATCGGTAACGTGGTCAGTTGCGGTGTAGTCGAAAAAAGAAATAGCAGAAGAAGTTGTGTCTATGGATTTTTTTCCTTTATATCCAAGTTATTTTCATCATTATTTTTTTTTTTCTGATCACGTGGAGTGCTGTTGAGTATCATCAGTAGAGGGATATCCAGGCTGGAGATTTTTCCTGCCGAGTCTGCGTGTCCTGTCCGTTGGGAAGGCGGAGGAAGGGGTGTGCACTGCACAGCGCTCGCTGGCTCTGGTTGACCTTGTGGTGCGCCTGCGTGGCTCTTGACGTCGACATCCCGCGGCACTTGCGCCGTTTTGCGCACTCTCGGCAGGTCTGGGCGAGCCCGGGATCGGGATCCGACGTCGACACTCGACGTCAGTTCCCGACTCCCTGGCAGTGTGAGCGAGTGGCTCGCCTGATCGGTCCGTTCGTGTGCCGAAAGTCGGCTCTCTGTGTCCCATGCAAATTCTCTCCCCCCCCCCCTCTCACTTCACTTCTGCCGCTTGCACATCGTCTCGCGCGGTTTTCTCGGCGCATAAACGTCGACAACCCTGTTTGGAAATTCGTATGTTCCCAAGTTGCGCATTCAGTGCTGGGTGTGAGGTTGGCACTGTGGGCGAAACCCAATTTTTTGGCAGTACCCTCTTCTTGGTGTTTCGTCAAGTTATGCGCGTTTCATAACTCTGTCGGGAAATAAATTGTGCCTGCTTGCCGCGTGGAATGTGTTTTGCGACACTGGGCTGGGCACTCAGTGGGTGATTCGGATTCCTTTTTTTTTTTTTTTTGTTTAAAGATGAAGGGGGGATCTTGAGGCGGTACTGTACCTTATTGTTTGCATCTGAGGAAGGAATTTGAGGTTATGGACGTTGGCGGGAGGTGGAATGGGAGGCGGGATCCGAAAGCGAGTGAAATTGAACACGTCAGCTGTTTGAATCGTGTTGACGATAATGGTGAGTAGGGACGACGACAACGGACTCCCTAGTGCGAAGTTGGTTTTATTTGCGTCTGGGAAATGATTCGACCGAGTCTGTGAACTTCGGACTCGGCTCTGCGCGGTGTGAGTTTCGCTCTCGCGTCCCCCTGCCATCGAAGGAAGGTACGTGTACCGGTACGAGTCAGTTCCTCGCTGTGGCCAAAAACGAACGTAAGACATGTACCGTACCTACTGCTATACTGCCCTGAAAACCTTGAGACTTGCGATGGCTGTCGGCGAAAAAGAAAAAAGGAGGAGAGAGGGAGGGGAGGGAAGTGAAGTGCACGGCAGTGCAGTACAGTAATGGCAAAAGGACTGACTATTCGAAAAGAGTCGGTCCCGGGAGCACACACACTGAGGAGCCGAAGGTGAAGCTGATGATACTGGCGGCTTCATTCTTCTCTTTTCTGTTTCCGGTTGGTGAGGTGTTTGCTGGAAGTGCGGGGGCGATCTCGGGTGTGTGTGTTGATGAGGAGAGTGATTCGCTACATCGGACGATCCTTGGGCCATTTCCACGGTTATCGTGAAGATGAACCGATCCACCTTGGCTTGTTTACTCGATTCGCTGCGCTGGGGCGTCGGCGACTACGACAGTCGTAGTCCAACACGAGCTTCTTCTATACCTCCTCCCTTTCGCGTCGCTTGCATTCATTTTATCTGCACGACCGAGGAGCGGACTGCTGATTGGTGGCTCTGTTGTGCCAAACCTATACGACGGGTCTCGCTCTTGCTCGGTGGCTAGGTGCTGAGGAAACACGTACTGTAGCACATTGTCAATTGTAGTACCGGTTGTACGGTATTGGATGGGATCCCCGTCCCATCCAATGAGAAGGCTGCACTGACGCTTGCTCATCATCGTCATGCGGCGATGATGATGATGATGATGGACCAGGAGGAATGACGGGAAAATGACCTTTACACCTGGGCCTCGGGGTGGGAGAGATAAGTCGGCGGCCCCACTGGAGGCATGCGTGTGAGCGAGGAAACACTGGCTGGAGTAGGTAGGCCCCTCTTGAGAGATAGGCGTGTGGAAATCTCCGATGCTGCTCTGCGGCGGCGCGCCCCCGTGTGCCACCGCCAACAATCCGAGATAAGCGCGGGGATGCAAGTTGCTTGGCTTTCGGGGATTACCTGGCATTTGGCTCGCGTGCTGTTACCTGCTGGAATCTGCCTCCTCAGTTTTAGATGCGTTGGAAATTACAGTATTGTACAGTGCAATCCTCTACTCTACTGTACCCCGCTCGACGTGTTTCCTTTCAACTCATCACGAGGCAATGAATAACTGGCGTGCGCATGCCGGGGTAACGGACCAATGTTGCCATTCCTGGTGCTGCAGTGTTCTGAAGTCTGAATTTCAAGTGGTAATTCCTTCTCGGGTGCAATTTTTAACTTGAGCTGGGGCCAATGTTGGGCCACGAATGTACGGTATATCTCGAGTGACGTTTCCCTTGGTCATTTCTGTCTTTGGTGATGCAGAGACAAACGCGCAGTTGTGTGGCTTTCCGGATGCGAACGACTTGACATAAATAAGCATCACCCGAGCGTCGTCGGACTTGGTTTATTTTCATTCATGAGGGGGGGGGGGGGGGGGGTTTGGGAGGCTGGAATTTGGGGTTTTTTGGTGGTTGGGGGGGGGGGGGTGGGGAGGTTTTGGAGACTGGAATTCAGCGTTCAGTGTGCGCCCAAGTGCAGTAATGAACTATGGGAAACGCTTTATTTTTTCTTCTTGGACAATCCCCTTCGGGTTACGGTGCTGCACAAAAAAAAAGAAAAACAAGCGAGCACAATGTGGAGGGAGAAGGTGGGCGAGAAGGCTAGTTTTTGGCGATGTTCGTTGTGCTCTTGGTTTTGTCGAGTCTTGACGAAGGATGACTCGACGATGCCTTCCTTGGTCTACTACGTGTCGGTTCCCTTTTTTTTTTTTTTTTTTGGTCTTCGTCGAGACGTTGCAGTTTTCTCCCATTTATAATCTGTTTTCTCTTTTCCGCGATTCTCGAAGTTGGAGAGAGAGAGAGAAAGAGCGCGACAGGACAGGACAGGAAACGAGAGACGTCTGGGAAAAAGGTTTCTGTTCGCGCGCGGAGCCGACGGAAATAGTGTGTGAGAGAATTTTCCGATCAGCGATCGTCGACTGCTTTTTTTCTTTTTTTTTTTTGCGTTCGTGGCACTATGCAGTACCCGATCGCGCCGATTTCGCCATTCGCGAACATGTGCTATTTCATGAACGTCAACCTGAATTGGGCCGGTGAGTCTCTTTGCCGAAGAGCTGGTTCTCGGCTCTTCTCTCTCTCTTCTTTTTGTGTCTTGTTTTGCAGAACTCCTTCCTTGTTATTTGGAATAATACCGTATTTTCACTGAATTAATTTGCAACATTTTCTGAGGTAGTCCGATTTACATGAAGAATTAGAGACCAACGGAGATCTATTCATTCCGTTTAACACGATTTTCCACGAGATGCCGAGCGTGTTGCCAATTAATGAACAAGGTTTGCTTCGCGTTTCTACTGCATGGCAGCATTTTCGGTCCGGTACTGAATTTTAAATATACGTGCAGTATTTATCGGCAAGCCTGTGATTGAATTGAAGCATTTTGTTTGAAATGGTGGACGGAAAGCCGAATGTGGCCTTTTCCTTAGTTTACAGTTGGACCGTTCGTAAGACGACGTGGTCAATATTTCAAAATGAAATGCTCGTTCCCCGTGTCTTAGACGCCGGTAACGGCGATGCTTTGTGAGCCAAGTTGAACTTGACAGTTGAGAACTCTTGATTGCTGTAGCGGAGTTGGGAGGATTTGTAAAGTACAGTACAGTAGCTGGAATTGCCCTCTGCAAATATTTTCTGCCGAATGAGAACCAGACGGTTGATTTCAGCCCAGTGAAACTGCATCAACGAGTGCTTATAGACTTGCACTGCCAATTATTTGGCAGTATTTTGAAGATCTTTCTGTGACTGATCCGGTGCTTTTACTGACTTTTCGTCCCCCGTTCGTTTCTTTGCAGGGAACAACAATGAGGCGCAGGCGTTCTTGTCCCGCAACGGACAGGTGATCGTACGGATGCGGGGGTTGCCTTACGATTGCACCGCTCGTCAAGTGGTGAGTTGAATTCTCAATTCTGTCGAATCAACACGCGCGAGGAATTCGCACGATGCTGGTGATCAACTGCAGTCATCGGCAAGGATACAAGGTCTCTCTGAATGCATTCCGTCACGTTTCGCGGGAAGAGGTCGTTTGAAAATGCGGGAGAGAGATGGATAGATGTATTGTAGTTGGATGGATAGATAGATTGATTGATAGATGCATAGTGGAGAGGGGCAAGTAAGTAGCCTCTTTCCGAAACCCGTCGCTTTGTCAATTGCGATCAGATTCGGACGCTATTCGCGTCTAGTGAGGTCATTTCCAGCGTATTACTTCCTAAACAGCATCTTGATCTGTGCTGACTGATATGCACGCGTTTGTCCCCCAGTTTCTTGGCCTGACCTTTGGTGATCTAGATTCTAGCGAGAGCGCCGATGACTGACGGTTGGTTTTGCCCCCACCTGGGATTTATCTCGAGTAGCTCGGTGTCGAGCCTGGGCTCTACCGTGCACGTGACGAGGCTTTGAGGAACATTCTGCCAGCCTTTATCGCGAAGCACTCGAGCGGCGAGTTAAAATGGCGGCGCGCGGATCGTTGCCATTTTGTTTCTCGACGGGAAAGCCCTCGATGCTTTTCTCTCTACTCATGTTTTTTTTTTGGGAAGAGGAATAATGGCGCTTCATGATTGTTGCTCCTGAAAATAATACAGTATGTACATCAAGTCCTGCCGTTTTTCTTTGCAATGTCGCTGTCCACCTTTTCTCTCGAATGGGAATGAAGTGCTCGCTTAGTTATATCTGCGACGTGAGATAAAAGTGTGGACTTCGCCGCCGACTCCCATTTATATTTTCCTAATCTGGTTCATTTCTGCCTCTTCGAACGTCCTCGACTTTATCTTAACTACGCTCTGTTTGATTTTTCGAGTGTTCTTCTTAACCTCGTGGAAGATTATCTATCGCCTTCCCATTTCATGCATCTGGGATTATCATCGTGGCGTCTCGTGACACTTGAAAGCGAATGCTGTATTTGCCTTTAATAATTCATTTAATATCGCAACTTGGTGACTTCTCCTAATGGAGGGTGACGAGCCAGCGTGTATTTTTGAAGACGCATGAAGGAGAATGCGAGGCAAAGTACAGCAGAGTTTTGAGGGACTTGTTTCCTCGACTCGAAAGAATTATGTACTGTAATGTCAAAAACTGTAGTTGGTTGGCAGTCGCTTCTCTAGAAACCCTAGGTTTGGACGTCGATCGATGCATTATGGACACACGTTGACCTGATGACGCCAACCAAAATATGTTTTGTACAGTGGAGTACAGTTCTGTAGATTATTTCTGTGAAATTGAATCGATAGAACGCTTCGCCGCTGGTTGAGAATCAATCTCATGTTTTCTACCCACGTTTCATGCCAGGCAACGGCGCGTATGGAAACGCAGCGATTCGTTGTCTCAGTTTTCAGACTGGCGTAGAATCTTTCGGTGTAATCGGGGTTTGGTTTCGCATGTGTGACGAGCAGTCACTTTTTTGTTTTTTTTTGTTGTTGTTGCTGTTGTTCTTTAATTTTCCGGCCTGGCAAGGAACAAGCGGGGGCCATATGCGACTCGTTCTTTTCCGCGGCGTGTTTTCGAACCCCAGGAGTCATCAAGGCCTGGCGCCTCTTCGGGTTTGTTTTTGCTGACGGCGCGGATTCGCGCCTGTGCGTGCGAGTCACGCGTCGCTTTCGACGCCTCATCGAACGACTTTCTAAGGGTGTTTTTGGCATTCCCTCTGTGCAGTACTGCACTTCCTACCGTACTGCACTGTTTATCAATGCGTTGCCTGCGTGGAATATTCAACTGCATCGTTCTTTTTTTTTTTTTTTTCAAAAAGGGGGGTGGGTTTTCGGATGGTAAATTTGCAGTTCCCATGCATCAACCACCAACTGCGGAGTTTGCAATGTGTGAAGGTCGAGTTTGTCAGATGACGTTCCTTCGTTCGTTCTTTCGGCGTTGAGTAGTACAGTACTTAGTACTGTAACTAGTTGGGTTGGTGGTATCTATACAGTACTCTGATGATAGCGAGGTGTTGGCGCTTAGGTAACAGGTAACGGTGATCATGCCTTGAAATGTTCCCCCGATGATCATGCTGGCCGTAGCTGGGCTCTACATTTAAAGTTACTTGGACGTTAGATCTGGGCATTTCAGCCTCGTTATTCCGGTCTAACGTTGGGCTAGTAAAGTTGTCCTGATGAGGAGTTTCATTGGTTCGGTCGTCATCCTCGCACGAGATTCGATCCCAGAATATTACAGACTTGCAGTAAGTTGAAAAGAAGAAAAGAACGTCTATGGAAGACTTATTTATTTCCATGTTCAAACGAGTGCACGGCTGTTCTCATCGACTGTCAACGAGGAGGTGGCACCGTGGCAATCATCGTCGGTTGTGCGTCATGCCGAGCTTTCGTTTTTGTTCTGGTCAAGTTTACGAGCCCCTTTCGGAGCGCATTGCTCTGGAGACTGAGGCGTTTTGTTCACTGTGTTGTGCGTTGCATTCTTGTTTGTGCAGTATTCACATTTACGCACATGGTTCCTTCTTCTTGGTCGACTTCGTTGGCAGAACCTTCGTTCTCCGGCTACGCCAAGTAACGCGGAGTTGGGTTTTGCAAGCAAATGAGTTCTCTGTGATGCCCCTCTGATGGTTAAATCTCAATTTCTTCTTAGCGTCGGTGGGTTCCAACGTAACGAAACCGACCACTATCTCTTTTTTATTTTTTTTTCCTGAGCTTGGGTTATGCGACCCTAATAGTATTTTGGATGAACCCTCGTCAAGTTTCATGCGTAGAATGCCGCCAAGTTTTTTTCTTTTTCCGATGCTTGCGGCTCATCTCATGTAGAACGGTATCGTGTGCAGCAAATTATTTTTAAAGCTGGTCAATCTTGTTAGTTCACGAAGAAAGATAAATGTGGGAGCGAAGCGGAATTGGCTCTCTGAAAAATTACACTTCGCAGCCAAAAAGCCCTGTAGGTGTAGACGGCACAGCATACTCAGTCCATAGCCTACTCCAGGAGTATACTGTACTGTACTATGCCAGGCTGGATGCACTCCAGGAGTGTGTCTTGTTGTCCGGGCAGGGTGTTTACGATGCCGTCCGGCGGGGCTATTCCGAATCTGCGGAGGGCTTTTCCGCGGTGAACACTCGCGCGGTGGTTCATTCAGCGAAATTTAAAGGAGAGTAAATCCCGCAGTGATTCTTGAAGTGGCGTTTTATTTTGGCGGAAGAAACTGTCCGAGTCCGCGGAAATCTAGATTCACAGGAGGCCTTGTACAGGACATGATAGCGAGAAAGGTGTGCAAAGTTTATTACGAGGAGTTGAAGCATGGTAAAAGATTGTTCTTGTTATATTTTCTAGCTGCATTTATTATAGCTCTGGTCACGGATGTGCAGTTAAATCATGGTAAAATATTGTTCTTGTTGTACTGTATTTCCTTATTGCCTCCATTATGGAATATTTTTTTACTGTACCATGCTTCAACTCCTCATAATAAACTTGGCACACGTTTTGTGCCATCGTGATCTGTCCAAGTCCTCCTGTGAAAATACACTTCCACGGAATGGAACCTTTTCCCCCGCCAAATTAAACACCGCTTCAAGACGCGGGATTAACTTTCCTCTGAATTCTGCTGAATGAACCGCTGCGTAAGTGCTCACTCCGGAAAAGCCTCCGCAGAACTTCACTCCGCGGATGTGGACCGTTCCCCCGTCAGGGGGAGTATGCCCTGCTCCCTGCACCGGGAGCCAAAGTTCAGCGGGAATATTTTTTATACGAAGGACATCGAACCTTTTTTTTTATTCTGACCATTTTTGAGTTTTTGAATGAAAGGCCAATTTTGTAAAGCAACCCACGTGATCAACAAACAGTTTTTAATTATTCCATGGGCTGTAATTCGGACGACTGAACGTTTGCCAAATATATATTGTGTGTCTGGTCTTCAGAGTTTGAAAAATTAAGGCTGTTTTTGGAGAATTATTAAGCCATAAATTATTCTTTTTGTTGAACAAAAATAATGGTACAGTAGTAAGAAAAGGGGGGGGGGCTGGGTGGCTGGTTACGGTCGAAAAAGTATTTCGTGACTGTTTCACCGTCATGCTCGTTAACTCATATGGGTCTGGTGCTTTTCGTTTTCATGTGCACTCGCGGTTTTCATCTGACTGACGACTAGAGAACTTGGCTTTTTTCTAAGAGCACCCAGGAGTGTAATGTTCTGTTGTTCTCTAGGAACACCCAATTTGAGCGTAAGTTGAAAACTTCGCTGAACGTATTCATTAGTAATGGAAAAGCGTGCCTTTTTTTCCACATCTGTAAATGTTTAATTTAGAATCATTTTGTATTCGAACAAGCGAAGCCCCCGTATCCAGCTGATTATTTGAGCTCCCCGCAAGGAATCTTTGACTCAGCTGTTGACTCTCCAGGAAACCAGTGCATCATTCCTGGAGATGAAATCGTTTTTGCGGAGTGCGAGCACCAGAGAATTCTTTCGGGCGCAGCCGTCGAAAGGAAACTTTCTTCCTTCACGAATTCGAGAAAAGCCTTTTGAGTTGGAAGCCTTGCGCAGGGTCCGTTTTCATGACTGAATAAATTGGAGTATTGCATTTGAATCAAGGTCGTTCGAGGTAGTGAAGAGAGCCCATCCTGCTGCACAATCATCTTTTCGTGTCATTTTACGAATGGCGTGTAAATGTCGAGGAAAGTTCAACTCTTGTCCTCTCTAGTGGCCTGCGCTTGTGCGAGATTTCAGTGCGAGAGCAAAAGGGTGAACAGCAGCGGAATGACAAATGATGATGAAGTAGGGACCAATGATGGCAGGAATTACTGTGTCGATAGCGCCGCGAAAATAATTCTCAACAGCGAAACGTTGGAATTGGAGCGTGGTAGAGGTGGGAAATGTCTTACTAAGGAGCTCCGCCTCGTGTGCGGATTTGATTCCTTCTTTTTTTTTATGGGCTCCACCTCGAGAAATGAACGTGGAGAGTGCTGCCGCGGGAGCTAGTGGGAAATGTTGGGGATCTTGTGGTACTGAACTTGTCGTGCTCAGCACCAGTACTGCCGGCAGGTGATGGTCGATGATATGAACCCATTCGGGATGATGACCACATGAGGATTGGGCAACGGGACTGAGCTTCGTTTGATTTTCTGCGAGTAATTATCTGGGTCCGAATGCGGACCTGGGTGATGGAGCCCTGGTACCAGTCACCCTACCTGCACCCGACCCGCTTCGCGTTCCGGCTGTCCTGTCATTCCCACGAACGCTCCCACGCACGCTCTGGTTTCTCAATCACGTGTCACTGTCGAGCCCTGTTTCTCGTCGTTCTCCGTGAGTACGTACACTCTTACAAGCGCACGCACGCACACACGAATGCTTGTGCGCGCGTTGTCGACGGCGCCACCGTCACCGTCGTCGTCGTCTCCTCCGCTCTCCACTGTGGGATTGCCCCGTCCGGGGGCGTCCCGTTGAGCCGCGAGGGTAACGCACGCGGACCTTCTTTCCCTGTTTCAGGCTCAGTCGAAACTTTTTGCGAATACGCATCATGGTGCCTCTTGGTACAGTAGTAGCATCAAGTAAAGCGCCGAGTTTGGCTTGCTGGTCACCAGAAACACCAATGGCCTAGAGAAAAAAACCTGTTCCGACGTTCGAACCACGATTTTTCGTCATCTGCTGCATAGGTGTCGCCGGAATCTTGCTAGGTTTCTGTACAGTATGGCAATTTGGGGACAACATATTGGGACCATTGAAAGATCATAACTGGCGTATTCTATCGGGGATTTTTATTTTTATTCTTTTGGATGAACAAATGAACGTATCCTTCGAGATAGGGGGAAGATGATGATGATCTTCCGGGACTACGTCCGTCGGAATTTCTCTGCCGCTTTCGTGTCTCCGTGAATTAGTCCATTGATATCTGCCTTGCTTGTGATTTCGTCATCAGGTCGAGTTTTTCGCCGGAGTGGCGAAAGTCAAAGAAGATCCCGATGCATCGACCGAAGAAGAAAAGACGTCGTCTTCGAGCGCGTCATCGCACAACAGTGCCGACAGCGGCATTGGGGAACCCGCTGAAGAGGAGCAAGGCTACAGCACTGGCATGTCGCAAGAACAAGCTGTGAAAAGTTTGGTGAGTTGGGCAAGGTATTCGAGGATGAAGTTTCCTCTGGGGGAAGCACGCACGTTTCCGGTGTGTGAGGGGAGCGTGCAAACTTTGAAAAAGTTTTCAAATGAAGGAAATTGGCGCGTGCAATTGCACGAAAACTTGCCTGCTACAGTATTTGTTTTTGGCTAGATGGAACGTGGATTTTTGATTTAAAACCGAATGCCTTATACAGCTTGTATCACACGCCCTTGTTGCCTGCCGTTCAGGGTTTAAACGAAATATTGCTGCTGCACTGAAATCAATTTTGAGGTGCCGTTTGATATTCAGAGGTTCAGGTTGGTCGGGAGGAGGGAACCGTACCCATCCCAGGAAAATGCAAGCGCTTATCGAATGTGAGGGATGATGCCCCTCTGATTTTTGTACGAGGTCGAAAAGCGGGTCCTAAGTTTGAGTACAGTTTCTGGTGGGAACGGAAATGACGTGTTTCGAAAGGCGAGCGCGATACGCCGCTTTGCCGAAAAGTTGGAGGTGGTCTCCTTGTACAGTACACTCTCTAGTTTGGTAGTGTGTGCGAGTGAGTCAATTGACGGGTTGTGTTTGGTCGGGGCTTGGGTTCGGCAGGAGAGCGGTCCCCAGCTGTCGCCGACGGATCCGAATGCGTGCCACGTGATGGACGGCGAGGCCGGCGTGTTGTTCGTGAAGAAGACGGATGGGCGCGCGACGGGCGACGCGTTTGTCATGTTCACGTCGGAGGAGGACGGCGCCAAGGCATTGGCCAAGCACAGGCAGTGCATCGGGTCCAGATACATCGAGCTCTTCCGCTCCACCACGGCCGAGGTTCAGCAGGTGAGTGTTCCTTATTTTATTTATTTCATTAAGGAACCCTCCCCCCCCTTTTTTTTTTCTTTTTTACCTTCGCTGTAGTGTGGAGTATACTGTATGTCGAAAGATGAGATCTGAACGTGAAGTTTACTTCTTGTTCACGGTACATTTTGTGCTGATTATTCGTGTCTGTTTTGGTTATGATATTGTAAGCACGAGGATGGTTCAGAAGCATTGTTGGTTGACTTGCTGACGGACGGGGAAGTTATTTTTCACCCGTGTATGTGCGTCAAAAAATATTTTTACGGTTTTATGTAGTCTAGACAGTGAACTGTGTGAAAATTTCCGAGATCTGAACATTATTTTCCTCGGGTCCTTCGAATTTGAGGTATTGAAAGGAGAAAAAAAACTGCATCGTTTGAAATACAGTACAATACAGTATTTGACCTTGCTGTTGTACACTAGGCTAGGACAGGTGGTGCAGTAACAATCAGTCAATGAGACGTGCTAATTCCAACAGATGCTGTTGGTGAAGCCCTGTACCCTCGCGAGGATGTAATGAAATTTCAACTCTCTTGTTTTCTCTCCATTCACACCGGATTGAGCGACGACAGTCGTCAGGAAATTGTGACTTAAAACTCCGTGAAATTCAATCTCGCCAATACGCGAAGGGCCACGATTTCGAAAACATTTTGTTTACTCTCGTGGGACGGATAGAGATACGAATATATTCCTCGGATTAATGATCTAAAATTTCCTGACGGCTGTCTCTTTCACAATCTGGTGAAAATGGAACAAGAAAAATGTGAAAGCATAAACGCGAATGTGCAGTATTTTACAGCATACAGTAAAGTACAGTGTTTGTATTCCCAGCATGAATTCTTTTTTTTTTTTTTTTTTTGCGAAGAATATGTACGGAGAGTTGAGGAATTTCATTCTTGTGTGCGCAGATTTTGAACCGCCCGGTAGACCCGAGGCCGATCGACTCGCAGGCTCAGGTTGCCGCCGCTGTGGCCGCGGCGGCTGCGGCGTCGCAGCCCGCCCTGGCCGTGCCGCCGGTTTCGCCCATCCCAATGCTTCCGCAGCAGTTCATTACTTCCGGAGTCCGCAAGGACTGCATTCGTCTTCGCGGGCTTCCTTACGAGGCGGAAGTCGAGCATATCCTGGAGTTCCTCGGCGATCACGCGAAACGGATTGCGTATCGCGGCGTTCATATGATCTACAATGCCCAAGTATGTTTTCTTCTGGCATCTTCTTTTGAGTCTGTACGGGTTGAAATTGGCGTGATAAGCTGGAGAGCAAAAAAAAAAATACAAGCAAACGAAGTGTAACTCTTGGTCGTGGAATAACGCATCATCGCCATTGAATTTGCTCGCGTGCTCAGCTGCGTAATGGCAACGATACCCAGGGCGTCGAGGGTCCATGCGGTGATTGTCAGGAATGAGGAAGACTTATTGGCAGTTGTATCGGGTGTTTTGTCAGTCACCCCGCACCCGACAACGCATGGATGAGTCGACTCCCTGGACGAGGACCCGCGAGTTGTTGTTTTCGTCGTCGTCGTTGTCGTTGCTTGCTTGCTTGCCTGCATGCCTCGTCGTCATTCGTCCTTGTTTGTTTTTCTTGTGCATTGGGGGAACTTCTGTCGGATTTTTCAGCAACAGCCCAGCGGAGAGGCCTTCATCCAGATGGACTCGGAGCAGAGCGCGTGTCAAGCTGCCACGCAGAAGCACCACAAGAACATGATCTTCGGCAAGAAGCAGCGCTACATCGAGGTGTTCCAGTGCTCTGGACAGGACATGCAACTCGTGTTGGCGGGAGGGGTCCCGCCGTCTCCCGGCGCCGGTCCAGCCGCCGCTTCGGGCCCTACGACGCTGCTGTCGCCCGGTATGTTGCCCAACTCGAGAACCGAAGTCGCGTCTAGCCCTTCGGCGGCGTCGGTCGCCAACGGCCTCCGCGGTGGGCCTAACCCGGCGTCCGGGGCGCCGTCTGCAGCGGCTGCTGCTGCTGCTGCCGCCGCAGCCGCTGCGGCCGCGCAGGAAACGTTTGCCAACGCGCTCGCGACAGCCATGTTGATGCGATCCCAGCAACCGCCGCCCCCGCCGGGCTTGATGGGTTTTGGAGGGGGTCTCATGACGCCGGTGTCGTCGAGTGGGGCGTCGTCGTCGCAGCAGTCGGCGGCAGCAGTTGCCGCTGCCGTGAGCTCGGCAGTGTCGACGTCTGTGTCGGGCGCGTACGGACAGCTGCCGCCGCCGATCCGCGGAGGGTCTATGCCGCTTGCCGGCGGGGTCACGATGTCCTCGTTTAGCCAGCAACAACAGCAGCAGCACCAGGCCGCCATGGTGGCGTCGCTCGCGGGCCCGCACGGCATGTTGTTGCGGCAGCAGATGCTGCAGCAGCAACAGCAGAGCGCCGGGCTGGGTGGCAAGCGGTCTTTCGAGCAGGCCTTCACGATGGCGGACATGGGAACGCTCGCTAAGCGCCACCAAGCCTGGGCGCCGGCGGGCCACCCGGCCGCGTCTCCGTGGCAGCAGGCGTCCGCGTCGCCGCACGCTGCTGCCATGCTGGCCCAGGCCCAGTTGGCGGCCAACATGGGGCTCTCGCTTGGCATGCCTGGCGGTCTGCTGGCCTACCCGCCGACACACACTGCCACGGGCTTCCTGTAGGGTGTGTAGGGCGACAAACCCAGGCGTAGCCATTCACCCATCCACTCACTCACTCGTTCATTCATTCAATCATTCATTCATTCCTTGCCCGGGAATAGATGTCGCGTTTTGAATCCCTCATTTCCCGCTTCCGGCAAGCGGCGCTGCTCGTTCCGGAATCTCTCTCTCTCTCTCTCTTGCTTCTCATCTCTTCCCCCTCGAGTGTTCCGTCCGTGATGGAGAGTTGTAGTTGCGCTCTCTTTATCTCGTCCCATTTGTATTTTGTTTGTCGAATTTAAAGGTCATCACGAAACGATGACATTTGTTGAGATTGTCTATTGTTGGATTTGCTGTCGAGTTATTGTAAACGTAACGGACGGGGCAACCCTTTGTTTGACCGATTTCGGTATAATTTGCAAGTTTCTTGATATCAGTTTCCTGAAAAAGAAAGGGGAAAAGAACTGTATTAGTTCTTGGATGACGATAGGCTTAGATTCAGAATTGTGGACGAGAGCTTGTTGTTCGAATTCTGTCGGATATTGTCGTGCGAGAGGTTCCAGGATGAGCAGTGTGGCCCATGAGGTATTTTGTACATTTCATTATTCCCTGTTGGGGTGGGGATCCCGTCTTCCTTCCCTTAAACAAAAGAAGGAATAAAAATCATCACGCTTGAACATTCCTACGAAAAAAAGAAACTGCAGACGGCGCTCGTCATGATCGGTGGTCGCCCAATGAAATGAAACCGAGACTTCCGATTTTGTGATGACTTCGGCGCGTTGAGCGAAATGCCTATATATATATTTTTTGTTTTTTTGGTCCACCCTGCCGACGATAGACGTTCGCTTGTGTTGGCAAACCAACCCGTAATTGCGCCGTTTCGTTTTGCTCATACGCCGACTAAGGATATTTGTAAAGAAGAATCATTCCGCCGTCCGTGAACTGTATTTTTCTGTTTTTCCTTTCGGATGCATCACTGGCTGTCCCGTCGCGAGCGTTTGATTGAGACCCGGGCTTCCACGAGAGGAGAGGAGAGGAGAGAAGAGTGAGAGCGTTGTACTGTAGTTGGGCTTGTGTGAAGAAAAAAAAAAAGGAAATGAGGTCTGCTGCAAATGAATGATGGAAGGTTTCAGCTCGTTCTGTAATTTGGCAATGCCCTCTCCTCTCACAATGTTGGCTCTTTTTATTTTTTTTCTCCGTTCGTCTTTTGTTTTTGTTCTTTTGCGAGTCGGGAGTGCCGAATGCGAATGCGATGGTAGAGAGGGAAAGACAACGCGTGTCTCTTCTTCGGTCCGAGACGGTCACGACGAAGCGTTCCTTCGCGAGAGGGAAGGACGAGGATGATTTCGGTTCCGGCATTCCGATCAGCTTATACTTCCGCTTCTTTGTCGCATGCATTCCGCCCGTTGGAGTCGGGCAAGTATTCCTTGTCTATCGGGGGACTGATGGGGAGAGCTGCACTAATAACTTGCGGCGGCGTTGTTTCCTTCCTGTAGCGTCTTGGGCCTTCCGTTGTCCGGGCCGGAGTTGAAGCGTTTGGTTGCTTTCGTTCTGTTGATTTGGTCTGGCGTGGTTTGTACAATGCTGCACATTCCGATGGAAACCTCTTCTTTTTTTTTTGGGTTTGTTTGGCGTTTTGCACCCGTTCCGGTACTCGTGTTATTGTTGCGCTGGTGACATGTTAACAAATTTGCAGGAAGGGGGTGGCTGGCCGAAAAGCAGGATTTGACTGGTGTTTTCCTCTCATTTTTTGATTTTGATTTTTTTTCGTCTTTTATTGCTCGCTTTTTCATTGCTGGTGTTTGTATGTCATGGAAGTATCGTTTTCATCATATGGTGTTGCCCTCAGTTGGTTCTGTTGCCGAGTCGTGTTTCGAGCGGGAGGCGGTGGTTTACGCTCTTCTTATTGTTGTTTTTCCCGGAATAATTTGTTAGACGGTTGCTTAACCTGGACACCAGTTTATTTTTATTTTTTGCGGAACGGGGAACAGCGTCCTGGACAGGCCAAGTTGTACGTACCTACCTACCTACCTACCCTTCACTGGTGGTGGTGGTGGCTCAAGTGACTCCCACCTTTTTCTTCTGTCCCACTATGCAAGTCTATTGAGTATATTTCTTTTTCTGGAAAAGGACAATCTCCGCGATTTTTGTAGCATATTCCGCAATTTTAAGAGGTCGAATTCATCTCTCATTCTTTCATTTCTCCGTTTGGTGTGAGTTTTAAATTTGAGACAAACAGGTGAAATTAATTTTGTGGCATTTACAAATTAAACGTTTACGCCCTGCCCTGTGGGTGCTTCAATCTGTTGATGGTCATGGGGATGACAGTGTCTTTTGTTTCCGGTTCTTTAAATACCTTTCGTGTTGAGAAAGAGACGGGGTGATAATTCGTAACTCGGGAGATTTTTTGATTCGGTCCTCCGTTCTGACGCTTTCCGTCCAGAAAATTGTTGGGCTTGGGCCTGTCCCAAGGATCCTGTTCCCTAACCGTTGCCTGCGCCACCAACCCCCTTCCTGCAGACCTCACAGGGACGGTATGGCTGACGAATAAAAAAGTGCAGAGGATTGATGGCCCCTGGCTGTGGTTTTTCCCGGACTACGGGGGTGGACGAGCAGACGTTGGTAGGTTCAAGAGATGAGATCCCCCAGTTCCGAATCCGTCGCTTCTTTCCGCGCATTACCGTTTATCAGATTGGTGTTGGCCGCGATGCCTTTCGGCGCGAGACCCGGCTTTTTCTGCTCATTTTTTAGCTTTGATTTGTTATCCCCCCTTTCCATTAAAAAAAAAAATGAAAAGAAAGGGTTGTTCTTTGTAGATGAACACTTCTTGCTTCTTCTTCTTCTTCTTCGCTGATCGAAACTAGCTCAAATTATCTGTAGGGAAATCAAATGTGTGTGCATTTCCCTGGCGCTAGGATGTTTACAGTACAGTAGAGTAATCTGAGATCGTAGGGAAAAATTCTGCGCTACGCAGCGTTTGCTTCTGAAATTCCGACGTACCCCGAGGAATCTGGAGCGTCTGGTGAAACACTTCGTCGCAATTGATGAATGAAGCATGTTTGTTTGTTTGATTGATTTAAGCGATGGCTACCGATTCTAGGCATGGTTGTTTTGTTGGAGAATCTGTTGGGTCTCGACAGGAAGGCAACAATGCGATTGATGGTGGTGTCTGGGTTAAACCCCTCCTCTCTTTTTAACAGGTCTCTTATGATGTACTGTGGGATGCGTAGTTCTTCTGGCGGATTATTGGTTGCGTTTAGAAAATCGGTGGTTTCCGACGCGATTGATGATCTTGCCTCGCTTTTTTTGGCATTGTGCACGTTCGTCTTTTGTTGTTTAAACTATTGAATGGGGATCGATTCGATTTGTTCCTGCTGCCGTCCGCCGAAAACCCCCACTTTTCATTGCTTGCTTTTTGATTTCGTTTTGATTGGTCAGGCAGGATTTCGGCAGCCGTCGCTCACCTCGAAAAACACGTACGATTCATTACCTGGCATTTTGAGTGGAAGGCCAAGAAATTGTACTGTACTGTACGGTACTTGAATTGATATCCGCTTGTAAATGTTGTTTGGCTGCTCCTGTAGATAGATGACTTCATCCTCTGTTCGATTTCCGAACTGTGCTCGTCTTCTGTTCAGCTGACTTTGACGACAGGAGTAAAATTATCTGTGTTGTGATGTACCAGGATTAATGCAGTAAAGGGCTGTATGTAGATGACATGAAGATTAGGATAAATGTTTCGTGAGGAGACCAGCTATTTTCAGTTGTGTTGAAGCAGTACCGTATTCGTTCGTTCTGGTCGCACAGATAGAGGGTGGGGGGGTCTTTCGCAGGAGGAAGAAAAAAGAAACACTCGAGGTTAATGACACTTGAACATTCAGGTGCTCCTCCGCCACATTTCTGGGATTTTCGTGGAGCTGGAGTGGTGTGGTGGATCGGAAGGAAAACTTGATCCCCATTTCTTTCCTGCTTTATTTTGGCCGAGTCATGTATGAACGGGAAGGAAGGTAGGAGGCGGCTTAGTTTGTTGTTGGTGCGTTGGTTTATGGCGAAGAACGGATGAGGGTTGACTTGATTTGAAGGGACAAAGCGTGAGGCGAAAACTGTTGCACTTGACGGGCTGACGACTGGATGTTGGTGGGGTGCTCAGTACTTTATACGATTGGTTTGGTTTGACGCGCAGCGCAGCGCAGGAAAAGTCCCACACGACCGAAAGAAAGAAAGAAAGAAAGATGCCTTCATTTTTTTGCTCTGATAATTGCATGTATGGGGTGCGAACTACTTGGAGTAATTGAATTGTTTTTCGGCGGTGGGAAGACGTCGTGCTGTGCAGTGTCTCAGCCTTGTTGCGCTCGTTGATCTCTGGTTCCCTCGGAACGCACTATTTATCTGACGATCATCTCGACAAGACTGGCTCTGTATCGTTTGACTTTGTTTTGCTCCTCGACGTGGCTGTACTCCTCAAGAGGACCAATGCTGCCTGGCTTGATTGGTGTTTCGCTCGGGTAAGGCATTGTTGGTTACTGGTCCTCGTTTTTATGCTGCTGCTGCTGCATCCAAACTCCGCCAACGTCATTGTTTATCTCTCGGAACGAACGCTGCATTGGTTGGTTGGTTGGTTCCTTGGTTGTACATACTTGGACCTATACTTGTACATTTTCTATTTTTGGCTGACAGAAGGGGCGTAATTGCCGAGCATAACTTTGAATTGGACTTCCGAGGAAATTCCGATTGCGTTCCGTTCTCTTCACAGTATTGTGCAGTTAGTTGATGCAGAAATTTTGATCATCTCGTGTCGATCGCTTGTGCTGTACAAAATCCTGTTAGTCTAATTGTTCACGTTGGTCTGACTATACAATCCAGTACAGTATTCCGAAGGATAAAGTATACTTGAAGCACGTGTATTATTTTCGGAACTTGATAGTTCGAGCGGAAATTTAACAAGATATTCTTAGCCAAGTCAGTCGATGGGATGTTTGAAATGCTTAGCGATAGAAGGTGATTGGTGTAGCTGATGGTGTTCGTTCTAATCAGATCCAAAGCACAGTACGGTAATGCAGGGTGGCTCGAAAAAAAGAAATGGGACAGATTTGAAAACAACTTGTATTGTGATGAGGAAAAAAAAGAAGTAAAGAGAAAGACGGGAAAGCGAATTTTAGCTCTCTTATCGTGGTCGCATCGAGATAATGTCCAGTACAGTATTTGGAAAACAAACTTCCGTTTTTTAAAAGGTTTCCGAAGTGGTCGAATCGCACTGCAATATCTCAAGAGCCAAAATCTTCGAGGGCTTGAGAAATGAATTCTGTCTCTAGGAATTATTACTTCTTGGGACTTCGAATAATGATTGTATTAAGCATCCGTTTGATGTATAAAAATAAAAAAGGCACGAACAGATTTGAACATATTTTTGTCGTATTCGGTTAAAATTTTTGCTGAAGTAAATTTTGACAGGAACGAAAAATACAACCATGATATGGCAGTTGACATTATTTAAATCGACTATTATAAATAATGTTTTCTATCCTTCTTTGTTTCAAAGAAAATGTTGGTTGTATAGTCCCTGCAGTCCTATTGTTTACTCGACCACCCTGCTGTCTGTCTGTCTGTCTGTCTCATTGTGGAGTTGCGAAAGTTTGATTACGCTGTGGGAATTGGACATTGATCTGGGCGGAGTGTTGCAGTTCTTTCTTCAGGTGTTGCGGGTTGCTGCGGCGACGAGAGTAGCCGGGTGGCGAATCGGATGATGTGTGGGAACCTGGTGACAGCCTTGGGCTCTTTTCAGCATGCGACAGCTGGGCCACGATTTGGTGCTTTCTTGGATTAATCACCCGTGCAGTTTCCTTTACCAAAGCTGGGGATCATCATTTTTCTATCCTCCTCTGCTTACTCTGTATACTTCTCTCTTTCCACCCGGGGTTTCTCGTCTCATCTGCAGATTCCCTAAATTAAGTTTCAGTTCCCTGCTAAGACAGGGAACAGAATGATTGAATCTTGAAAAGTCATCCACGTGCATCATTTTCTTGCGTATCGCTTCAGAAAATCCCCCTTATTCACTGGATTCTATGCGTGTGCAACTTTTTCGTTTCCCGAACGTGCATGTGAAAGGTAACGACAACCGAAAATTCCGAACGAAAAAGTTGCACGACTTCGTGAAAATACGGAAGTGTTTACATGCGTTGAAAGAGCTTTCTTGCACGCGTTTGAGAACGAAGTCGGAAAACTTGAGTACTCTCAATATTGTACAGAATGTGGGCTAGAGAAACGCAGATACAGTATACGGTCTGCACGTGCATATACTCTTTCCTCGTGCTTTTCTCGTGTGTGCACTGTTCGCATTGGTTCTGTATCTCAAAAGGTGTGAAAGGATGACGAGTTGGTTCCGAGTCAAACGGTTTTTACTTGGTAAGTCTCTTGGATTTGTGGTGAAGTTTCATTTCGCTAACTCTTATCAAATCAGGCGCAATTTTATGGGTAATTGTGGATTTTTCTGCAGAATTCCGAAAGGTTTCTGTCTGCCGAGTATTTCTTGAACGCGGTACTCTATGTTTTCAACGAGCGAGCATATTTTGCCGGTTCGTTGAATTTCTGGAGCCTGTGTGCAACAAGTCCGAGGTTCAGTCAGCGAATCATTTGGTTTCTGGGCATTAATGAAGAAAAAAAGAAGCAAAAACAGATTGGGTGTGTTTGTAGGCTTATGGGTCTCAGTCTCTCCTCTCCCTGCCTCCTCTGGGTTTTCTTCCTTTTCACATTTAGCAAGCGCTGAGACGCGTCCCCAGAGGTGTGTGTGTGTGTAGCGAAGTGAGTATTCTGGACATCTGATTCACTGAACGGCGATGGCGCTTATTCCGAACGTCGTGGAGCTGTTGTGTTTTGGTGTCAGAGCGGGCAGTGCATCGTAACCCGGAATGTGTTTTGTAACGGATGTGTTGCGATTGTGGAGGTGATCGTAGTTGTAGTCGCTTGGTCCTTATTGATCGTTTTCTCCCACTTCTTCGCTGCGCCTGCCTTCTTCATGCAGACAGTGGCAATACAGTACTCGGACTACTTATGTTCAGTCAAGCTCGCGCATTCGTTCATCGTTGTTTGTGTTTCACGAATCTCGGGTTTTCGCGGGTCGTTTCGACGCATTAATTTATCTGTTTTTTTTTTTTCGAATTCCTTTGATTGAACGGGATGTTGTCTTGCGTCGAAATGTGGAAAAGCGATCCTGTGATGTCTGTCTGCGAAAAGTGGCTGGTAATGCCGCAATATCAAGTGCTGGTCGATTTAAAAGCAACAGTTCGAATCTGAATATTTGTATGACGTCCATGTATTTATTATCATTTTTTCTATTATAATTTTTTTTTTTGGCGAGCGCGATCTTCTTTCATTATTGTGGGCTGCCTCGGAAAGTGAGGAAACGCGTCGAGAGTGAGGAAGTCGTGCTGTTGTGCGGGGGCCTGCGTCTTGGGTTGTTGATTTGAATGTTCTGCTTTTCCCTCCCCTGTAGGTGTGGTTGCGAGTGGTCCGCTCCTGGCGTCGTTTCCATACCTCGCGGCTGGGATGGGCATGGGGGCACCTCCTCTGGGCACTGCAACACCCGGGAATGCGGCGGCTGCAGCAGCTGCTGCTGCTGCCGCGGCCGCCGCCCTGGGCTCGCCCGTGCGCCCTGGCGCCCCCGCTGGGTTCACGTATGCCCCAGCGGCGACCGTGTGCTACTGGCCCTTCCTGAGCCCGCCCGTCAGCCCAACGTACTACGGTGCACCCTGCACGCCGCTCACCTCGGCACAGTCCCCTGTCACCACGGTGAGGATGCGGGGTCTGCCGTTCTCTGCCACAGAGCAAGACATAGTTGATTTCTTTCCTGGGTTTGAGGTAACCACGGTGACTGGGTATCGTGTGTGTGGTTGTGTGTGTGTGTGTATATGTGCATGTCCGTGTCTGTCTATCTTACGTGTTTGGTTATTTGTCTGTTGTGTATGTTCGCTTTCATCTTTCTGTTTCCTTTCACTTGCTCATTCGTCGCTTTTTACCTCACACACTGCTCCTCTGTTTACCGTCAAACATCAACTCGGTACTGAATACTCTTCTCACAAAAGTTTCACTTCAGCGTTTCGACTTCCAGAAACCTTTCTAACGAACAAGAAGAAGAGGAGAAAAAGGTGCCTGAGCCCCTTTTCTTACAGAGGGGCCTCTTGAACTCACCTCGTCATGAAAATTATTTAAATTTTTATCGTGGGAGCGAAGCCCTGATGGAAGTTCGGGCGGAGCCCTTAGCATTTTCTTAGGGCGGAGCTTAAGTTGATAAATATCTCTTCTCTCCTCATTGTCGGGAGTTCGGAGTCCACTGAATACTGTATTCTTCCCTACGTAAAAATAAAACCCAAGGCCAAAGTAATTTTTATAAAATTCTAAGCGTGAGAGGCATATCCGTCACCTTATCTAATTCTTCATATCAGTGTCATTTTAGGCGCAGACAGATTTTTTGTTGACGTACGATGACTCGGAATAAATTATGCGTATCCATTATAATGGATAATCGTTAAGCAAGTTTTTTAATGGTACAGGAAAATATCGTTCATTTGAAGTTTTGAGTTATGCGCCCATTCTTCGAATTTTTCATCTGTTGCTCCTGGGCAATGAATGGCTATGTTGGTCTTGCACTGGAATTTCAAAATTTTCCTTTTTTTCCGAATGTGTAGACCTTTTTCTCCATGCTGTAAAGTCAACCTTTTATTTGCCGTCATTAGTACCTTCTTCGTGTCTCGCATTTCTTTTGTCACCAACAAAATTCATGCTTAATTTTTCTTTTTAAAAATTAATAAAAAAAATTGTGTGGCTTTGGAATCGTTCCTGGGAAGACCTTCAACGCCGCAAGTCACTCTTGAATGAACGAACTCTCGAAAAAAAGGAGCGTGTGTGATCTTTTAATGTTGAAGCACTCGTAAACACAGCTCGATGTTTGATTGGTGAATGACGGGTGCGTGTGAGGGGCTGATGTCACAGCTTCGTGCATGGACTTCGTCCTATGACATCCCTTTCTTATATCCACCTCACTGTCGATGCTCATGATGGTGCTAAGCTCACATTTCTCTGCGAGTGCTGGTGTCATTATTCTGTCCCATGTTCGAGCTTGTGTGCGCTGCAACTCTTGGTCGAGCCACTATTGCACTATGCTGTACTGTACTTGGCTCTCTTAGAACTTGAACTGAAGGATAGTGACTCGTAAGTTAACTACTGATGCTAGAATGAAGTGTGCATGAATGGCTCGACTGGAACGTGCTGGGCGCATGAGCTACATCCCTGCGGCAGATGTATGTCTGACTGATGCCTGATGCAATTGTGTTTCAGTTGACGCAGGAGTTCGTAGAGCTGCAACGTGGCTGCGACGGACGCCCGTCCGGCGAAGCCTTGGTGACATTTCCGACGCACGCTCAGGCCACGGAGGCCATCCGCCTCAAGGACCACCACAATATGGGACCGCGCTACATTGAGCTGTTCATGACTTCGTGAACGCGTCTTTCGCTGTCGCCGACGAGCTCCCAACACCCGCACGAGTGCCAGAGTTGCATGATGGGAGTAGGATTTGCTCTCTTCTAGATTCCCCCCTCTTCCACGCACAACGCGTCGTCTGTGTTCCACTCTAGCAGTTGCAATATTTTTAGTCGTTCGCTCTTCCGGACCCAGCGGGGATGTTTGCCGATCGGAATGCTGTTTCAACTGTTCCCTGGATACGATTCCCTGCGAACACTGTCCACTTCGTCGCCCATCCATGCATCCATCCATCCGTCTGACCGGGTTTGAGAGAATTCTCTTTCTTTTCTTCGTTCGGAGGATGGTTGTACAGTTGGTCTTCAAAAAGGATGGTGATCAGATTCGGACGGTTGGATTACGGGTCGAGGTGTGCAATGAATTTCGTGGCAGTCGGTCTCAACTCTTCGCGAATTCCCGTCTGGCGCCTTAGAGCACATCTTATAAACATTGTTTTTTGGGATGAGTGATGATTTGGCCATTTGGCCTGCACAAAAAGGCAAGCGTGCCTGTGGGTGATGCAAACTGACTGTGGATGTCGAGATTCGAGTCGATCCCCTTCCCTATCTTACTGGAGAAAACGAGCCCCACCCGTTGATTCGCAACATAGAAGGGGATTTTTTAGGTTTTAGTTTTTCCCCGAAGGTTGGCATTATCAATCAAGTGAACATTCTGTATACTTCGTAGCTTTATTCGGCGAAGACAACGACCCTTTCCGCGGATCCAGGACTACGGGAAATTTTGAGATTGAGCGTGGAACTGGAGAGGTATAGTTTCGTTTCTTTACGGCAAGGGAAAAAGTTGTCCGGATTTGCGTCATATACATATATATATATATATATATTTTTTTTTTTTGGTTGATTCTCTTGAGTCCGTTTGTTCAATTGTTGTGATGACAATCAATTGAGGGCTCCATCTGCTGCGGCGTGAGTGCGACGTTCTTTGCGCGTAGATTGCTCGCATTACGAATCCCCAGTAGGTGGCACTCCTTGTCGAGGATATTATCATTGTGAAAAGCCTTTTGCTGGTGACGTGGCTCTCGTCCACGGGAGTAAACATCTTGAATTCAAGTCTATTAGTTCTCAATGGCTGCTAAATTAAAATGCATTGTGATTGACGACTGTTAGTTGATATCCCCGTTGCTATTTGCCGGGAGTCGATGATCCTCAACTCATCCCCGAGTGCCTGCGTTTATCGCGGTCCAACCCTGAATTGTTCGAGACGTCTGTGAGGATGGAACAGAGATATATTTTGTTGTTTCAAGTCGAGTAATGCTCATTAGTCGTAAATGAGCGGTTTCTGTTGGAAAGAAAATCGATCACCCGGATGTCGGATGCGTATACAATAAGTTGAAACTGTTCTGTATGACTTGAAAACACTTCAATGAGTCGCGTTCTGCATGGTTAACCCGCGCGTTATAACAATTACTTGTTTCATACGGTTCGGAAATGACCAAGTGAGGTCAAGTTCCTCGAGTTTTGGTCCCTTCTTGCAGTTAGGTTGGTGCTTGTGCGTAATACTTGGGTCAGACATGCGAGCTTACTGCTGTCTGGCCATGTATTTCACATGCACCATAGAAAGTGCCTTTCCGTTTCCTGTTCACAGAAGAAGATAATTTTGGTTACCGAGTTGAATTTCGTTTGTGTAACTATATTTTCCTTTTGCTTTTTGAAGTTCATCACCAGCTTGCAGTTGATAATGGCAAGGATGTTGGATGTCTCATAGGGAGACCTGCAGAGTTAGAATTTCCCATCTGTTCAAGCGATGTGTGAGGGCAAATGTGGGGAAGGACCGAAACAATTCTCGTGCGAAACAAGTGCAGAATGGTTAGTTGCGTGGGTGACAGTTGCAAGGATTGCGTCGCAGCTTGCCTTTCCTTACTTTTGTGATGAGACGTATGCAAAGTTCATGGACCGGGTCCGTGCAGAGCATGTGATGTGTAAATGTTGTTCAGTCTCCAGTGCGTTGCCCTATGTTTTAGTTGCGCGGAGGTTGGAGCCTGGAGAACTTCGATGCATGACCGACGAGTGATATGTTGTTGGGATGAGCGTTGTCCCTAGGTTCAGGAGGTACGTGTTCGTTGCGTTCCGGTAAATTTTCTTCACATCAGCCATCGGCGTCACCTCCATTCCTGCTTCTGTCTCGTGAATACTTTTCGCTGGTTTCGGATCTCGGTGCCCGGACGTATCTGAGAGTCCATCAACTGTTACATCAAGAAGAAGAAGAAAAAGCGATTCGTCGTCAAGAGGCACCATTTTTTGTTTTTGTTGTTGTTTATTTTCTTCTCGAGGATGTGATCCAAATGCGGACGAGTGGCTGTCGAGACAAGCGGGTTTGCATCATCCTCGACGGGAAATAAGAGTCTTGCATCTGCTGCACATCGAGGACCGAAGTACAGTGCTGTATGATGAGATTCAACTCCCCCTTGACCCTTCGCGTGAAGCTATTTTGTTGCCTCTTGAAAATGCTCCAAGACTCTGGATTTGGTGATGAAATGGGCGTTGATGGGATGTTTGATTGATTGTGGAAGGAAGTTCAGGTTTTATTTTATTTTTTCGTTGGATCATTTGTTACTGGGAGTTTGTGGAACGCCTCGTTTTGTACACCATGTGCTGGTGAGTGCGTTGGAAGGATTTCGATGATTCCGGCCGTGCCGAGTGGGTAAGTAAGTGAGTTAGTGGTATGTCTGCGCCCGATCTCAGAACTGACGAGAACCGGGGTGACGGCCCTGTTCCGAGTTCCCCTACGCTTATATACTGTGTCCCTGGGCGCTGATCATTGGCGCATCCTTGCCTCCACCTCATTGTCACCATCATCATCTTCCTGATCCCGATTGGAACCCATATCCGGCGCTTGGCCAGTCTTCACCTGTTTCTTATGCAATTCCCGCACTGCACAATCTTTTTGTGAGAGAAAAAAAAAAACCCTCAAGATTTCCTCTGAAGCAGGAGTAGGTTTTTTTGATGAATTCCGCGCGAGCTGTGGTGATCGTCTACCTTGACGATATTCCGCGTCTGTTCAATTGTAACGCTCAACTGTTCGCTGGTCCCTCCGAAATCTTGTGTAAAGAACTGTGATATTTGATCCTGAAAAATCTCGTCATGCTTCTGGGTATTCCCCCCGAGTCGAGTTCAGTTGGATTTCTGTTCCTTTCAGTGGGTATTATGGTGGACTGGGTTTATTGTTAGTTCTCTTGTTCGCGGAGTTTTCCTCCCAAACTCTGGGTGCGGGGTTTCCTCTAAATAGCGGATTCTTCAAGTGGGCTTTTTGTGCGCGATTTCATCATCTGCAGGCTTTTCCTCCTTTCTGTATCTTCCTTCCAACTCGATTGGAAGTTTGGATTTATTTTACTCAACTTTTTTTTTTCTGTGGAGGGGTTTCCGTCGGCGCCTTCTGATGAGATTCGGCTTCGACGCGCGCCGATCGGGTGCAGTACAGTGTATTCCCGTGTATTGTGGTCATCAGCCCTGTTGCCGAAAGCAAAACTGTGTACAACAAAAACCTACCGTTGCGCAGTGTTGATGATGGTGGTGCAGCATCTGGAGCGTCGTCGGAAAGAAAAGTGCAGGCGAAAGTCCGCGTTCTGGATGATTTTTTTTTTTTTGTGTGGCTTGTTTTAATTGAGGCGTCGGGAATCGTGTGTGTGCTTCGGGGCACTTTGCTTCCGGTATGCGGTTCTTATATCAAATGTTTCCGGATCCATGTTCCTAACCATCCTCTGCGTGTGCACAAATGATTGGGGGCCCGTGCGGCAGTTCGAGCACATATCGTTTACTTGAGGCATTGACTCCTTCTTCTGGATTTGCTCGAGTCCAGTCCACCAGTGCGGAAGCTCGTGACGAGTTAGTGTTCGTTTTATTTTGATTCCCCCAATGAACGAGAGATTCTGGCAAGTGCGAGTACTGCTCATGCCCTGCTGATGCTGGTTGCGACCGATCGCGGGCTCGACACTCGGTTGGTCGATTGATTGTACTGTAATGTTCTGTTCTGTAGTGCGTGTGCATACTGTACTTCCGTCTACAACTTGATGCATCTCTCTCTGCTCTTCCGGTTGGATGCGTGAGGCCCACGTTTTACTTCGGCGAGCCGTGTTGATTGATTATCCTGATGGAAGAAAGTAGAACTCGGCCTCGCGTTGATGAATTTCGATTTTGTTTTGTTTGATCAGCAAACTATTTGTTCTGCGCTTCCCGCGAGGTCGCGAGTTTGTTGTGGGTGCTAAAGTTTCGCTTATAGTTTAAAGTTTGAACTCGACGATGCGACGAGTAACGCAACCAATGTCCGGATTTCATCCGTTTGGAATTTAGTGAAGGCCCCGCGCGTTGCTCAAAACAGTGTGAGATATTGTACCGATCAGAGTTGTAGATCTTGCGGGAAACTTTCTGGGTTTACTCAGGGAAATTGGCGCCGTGTCGAAAAGTGGCTTGATTTGCAACTACTGCATCTGGCGTTTCAAAGACCGACCTGTTGCTCGAGTGAATGCACTTGTTTTTATTCGAAAATGTGGAACTCGCCCGAGGTGTGCGTGGACCTTGATGCACGAATTTAACTCCTTTTCCCCCTGATGAATAGAGCTTAAAGGAAGTGTTGGAACGGAATCCCCCCGTATGCCCCATATACTGTACTTGTGTGTGTGTGTGTGTATGTACATGTATTGGAGAAAAGAAGAGAAATCACGGACACGTTCGCATATGTATTTTGATGCCTGATCCGCGTTCACGAAGGAAGGCCCTGATCTTTACCAGTGGATCGTTTTCTCTAGTCCTGAGAAGGGATCCTTCAATCACCGTGTTTTGTTTTCTCGAGCAGTTGAGCTTTTTTTTATGACCACGCTTTGTCTCGTTTGAAAATTGTGTTAGTCGTGCAATATGTTCGGTTGCCAGGGACCGGGGTGAGCAAGCGCGGAAGGGATGGGGAGAAAAATTTGCGGCTGTCCGTGGCTGCTGTGATGTGCCAATTATGCCCTTGTTGCGGGGGTCCGGCTGCCGAGACAGCTGGCATCAGGGGTTACGATCTACGTATTCTTGTGCTTGACTCTGGGCCAGGGCAGACCTCCGTTTCGGTTTCGTTCGCTAGTATCTTCCGAACGCGATCCATTCCAGGCAGATCATTCCCATGTACGTACGAGCGCGCGTACCGCAAGGCGTGAGATG